GGCCTGTGTTTACTTTGAGCCTCACCTAGCGTTAGCTCTGTCTGCCCCATGGAGGCACTGGCCTGTGTTTACTTTGAGCCTCACCTAGCGTTAGCTCTGTCTGCCCCATGGAGGCACTGGCCTGTGTTTACTTTGAGCCTCACCTAGCGTTAGCTCTGTCTGCCCCATGGAGGCACTGGCCTGTGTTTACTTTGAGCCTCACCTAGCGTTAACGCTGTCTGCCCCATGGAGGCACTGGCCTCCATGGCTCCATGGAGACTTAGCCTCCCTCCCCCTGGACAAGAGTGCCGGTCAAATGTAGAAAATCATCGACCAAAAACACACTTCAGCTGAACGTTGGCGCTGTAGGCTTGGGGCATCTACACTAAAGCACAAATGGTCGGAGCTGAGAGGGCCTGAGAGTGTCAGCTTCCACCCAGCCCCTCAGGAGGCTGTGTGTCCCCACCGCCTTCCTCATCGCCTCGCTTCCATGTAAAGAGATGAATATACAAGAACGCTGTGCAGGGGTCGTGCACTGAGGTGCACGGTGTGAAGGAAAACACTGTGACCCGACACTTAGAGCCACATGCACCACAGGTGGGCGCCCTCACGGACATCAGCAGAGGGAGTCTTCTTTTACATTTGTGGTCCTCCTTTTAGCTTTAATGAGTCTGGCAATTCTCCACTAATGTCTCTCGTTAACAAAGTGTTTTCAGCCACAGAAATGCTATTACAGATTATTTCATTCATCACAGTTTTCCAGAAACTCCCAGGCTGACGGCTGTTTCTAAGGCGATGGAACCACCACATCTGACCTCTACCATCAACCCATGTGCAAAACCATCAAGCGCCTGGGCCGTTCCAATGCTCAGCCACACAGAAAGTGAGCTGCCTGAAGATGTACGTGTGCTGTGTGCGTTCAGGTGGTGCCATGTGACTGAAGGACTGTGTTAGTTAAGTTCTCCCCAAGCAAGCTCGATGGGCCGAATGGCCTCCTCTCGTTTGTATAGTTCTTATGTTCTTATGTTAAGTAGCAAGTGTACCTGATAAACTGGCCAATGAGTGTACTGTCCACCTCATAGTCCATAGCATTATGTCTCAAAAAATGATATTACATATAACATATGACAAAATCTAGGTGTCACTTTGAGGTGTTGTTGGTTCTGGCTTCACTGAATCACTCCCTGCCCACTGCTGGCATCTAAATTGACCCCCATGTTGGGGGCGTCTTGTGACACCATCACACGCCATACGTTTGCCATACTGCTATCCCAAGAGTAACATCTATTCCTGTGAAAACTCCCAGGAATGTCAAAGACCATCTGGGAAGAGGCTGTTTGTGAATGAGGACGCACCTGTAACACAGCTCACAGGGCTACAGCTCACAGGTTACAGATCTCAGGGCTACAGTTCATAGGGTTAAGGGCTACAGCACACAGAGCTATAGCTCACAGGCTACAAGAGCTGCAGCTCAAAGTCTACAGCTCAGAGGATACAGCACACTGCGGCTTACAAGCTACTAGCTACGGCTCACAGGACTGTAGCTCACAGGCTACAGCTCCTAGGGCTATAGCTCACTTCATCTCACAGGCTGCAGCTCACAGATTACAGTTCACAGGGCTATAGCTCACAGGCTGCAGTTCACAGGATACAGCTCACAGGCTATAGCTCACAGGCTACATCTCTAAAGACTGCAGCTAACAGGCTACAGCTCACAGGGTTACAGGCTACAGCTCACAGTGCTACAACTCACAGGGCTATAGTTCAGAGGGCTACAGCTCACTGTCTACAGCCCTGAGCTCAGATATCCTCAAACTCCACCTCGACTCATCACTGCCTAATACTTGATGCCGCCTCAGTGAGGCAGGCCTGAATCTTCACTTTCTTCTTTTCTTCTGGCCATTCCCTCACCCTCACAGCGTGGTCAGTCTCAGCACGCCACATTCTTTCTGTTGCCACAGGAGAGCCACTGTCTCCCCCCTTCTGCCCCTTTCTCTCTCTCTCTCTCTCGCTCCTCAAGGCAGATTCCCCACTTGAGGAGGCAGAGAGGCAGTCTCTCCACATCACCAGTGAGCTGCTGTTGAATTGGCCCGCAGCAAGGCGAGCAGGCCCTGTGGTACAGACTGCCCATGCTGCGAAGCCACCCCCCCCCCCCGTCAGAGGCAGGCAGGGGCCAGTCTGGCAGATGGAGCCACATGCACCGGATTGAGGGGCGGGGGAGGGGAGGGACGCCCTTCCAGACATGTCCGCATGGGACAGAAGGGGAACCCTCTTACTTACACCTCTCTGAAAAACTGATGTCTTCCCACTTTCTCCCCGTAAGACACGGGCCATGTGACACAAGAGAGGCAGCCACACTATTCAGGACAACTATAGAGCAGCATTATTGGACAACGAGTTTGATGGGGCTTTAAAATGAATAAAAACACACACTGCTACAAATGACCAGTGTAAGACTGCAGAGAAATCTGTTTTAAAATGAAATTGATCTGCTTGCAGTGAAACCTGTATCCTGGGAAATGCCCTGACCACCAAACGTAATGTTCTCAGAGGAGGAGAGTCCGGGATCCCCCAGGATAAACCCGAAAGCCTGATACATGGGTACTGCCAGCACCCACCCTGCAAGGAGCATCAGCTGTACGCCATGCGCCTGTCCTCCTCGCTTGGTTTTGTCGGTTCCATCACCATGGAGACCATGATCCCGTGGAAACGAGACCACAAGGGCGTCCCTGGTTGGGAGCTTCTCCTCAGTGATTCCCCACACAGGTGACGCGCATACTGCCCCCAAAGGCCACGTCACATACTATATATACCCTCCCTCTGGTCCTCGCACGTCACCCCCCCCGCCCATTGCACACTAATCTCAGCCTCGCCGCCTCACACTTGTCTAAGCACCCCCCCCTGCCCACACTCCTGCACTTTAACATGTTTGCTTGTATCCAGGGTTACTTCTCAGGATGCTCTTTATCTTTATCTCCTCCCCCCTCAAAATTCAAACTTCCATTGTGTCCCCATCTTCATCTTTCTAGGCCCTCTGACTCTCCCTAACAAAGTGCCGCCTCCATTCTCTGCATTTCCATCCTGGTGGTGTCACAGGACAGAGGGACGGAGCCAGCTACACAGCACAAAAGGGACAGGCAGAAGAAAATCACAGAATGCTGACCTCCTCTCTAGCAACAACACCCCCTGACCCCCTGGAGGGAAACTCGCCCATCCCCATGGCGACGAACAGCCCGCATTGTCCCCAGACCCGCCCACATTCATTACTGACAAAGACACACACACACACACACACACACACACAACAGAAGAGAGTTTCACATGACATTACTGGTGAACTGCCGCAACACGGATCATGGTGACTTTTACCAAACTTTTCCAAAATAACCCAGGTAACAGGAGACATATTTTATCATGCCTGACCCTGAGAACAATATCCCACACTGCTCAGAATTCCAGCCTCCTTTGGTGTGAGCTTTACACAGTACACTCAGTGCACATCCAGCGGGGAACCACAGCTGTGTTACAAGTGCCCTGTTTCACTCTCAAAGTGCCCTGAACTGGCTAGAGCAACTGGCAGAAGTTCAGCACAACTCTTCCCAACACCCTGGTACTGCCTGTTTGAAAGCAGTCCCTGCAGATTTTGCTGTTACCAACCAGAAGCCTGACATCTTAGCATTGAAACTAACTTAGTAACTAGTGCTAGCAGGCCTCTCCTATATTTGGTTATGGTGGTATTCGTCAAACAACACAAATGTTGTAACACAAATGTAATAAACACTAAAAATGCTTTCCCTCTCTCGTCGTGTATTATTGTAATAAGCTTTCCCTCAAATTTTTATTTCCACATAAACACAGCAAAAAATACTCGTGCATACTGTGCTATGGATTCTGGCTGCACAAAAAAATTGAAAAGCTTAGCCAGGGCCACTTGTAGCGTTTAGAGACTTCTTGTCCTGCTGCTTCTGTCGCCATGACGATGCACATCAATTCAGAAAATGTTCCTGACAACCTCGCTTAGTAGGAACGAGGAAAGAAAGCTTATTATTCTGTATGCATTTTATTACTTCAATATTTTGTCCCCATCGGAGGCCGGGAAATTGAAGCACAGAAAGAATTTTAAAAAGACTACACTGTCCCATGGAATGAGTCCGCCCGTCGCGCTGACCTGCAAACGCGCTGTTAAATTCATTTGCATCGCTTAAGAATTTACATTTGTATCGCCGGTCGTTGTGCCATATCCTTACACATGAAAAGTATCGCCGTAAAAGTCACCGCTGCGCCAGACATTTAGAATAGTTAAGCAGGGTTGCTCCTTTGGTAAAAGTCAATTGCACTCCACCGTGAATAACTAAACTCACTTCGGTTTATAGGTGAGAAGTTCAGTAATCAACGTAGTTTTCAGAGTGAGTGACGTGAATTGTGGTGATACAATCACCTACTAAAAGACTACGTAAAACACAGATATATTCTTACATGCAAGTTATTAATGAAATAGCATATTATTCCGGGCACGTTCAGATATAGCAGAATAGCCTATTTGTACAGCAGCTGACCGAAACCTAGGTTTCCATTAAGTAGTGCATCTAAGCCATTTAAAATGACACAATCTAACGTTTAGTGCCACAGAAGGATGCTGCTAACGAAAACAATACGATGAATCCCTTGTTGAAACTCACAGTTTTAGAGTCCAATTCGTGTCTGGTTTGGGCCAAAACTTTATCCACTCCAGGCTGGTCCACAAAGGTGACAAATCCGAAGCCCCTGTACATAAATATTTAGACAAACGACTTCGATCAATAATTTATTAAAGAAAATGGGCATGTCAAGAGATAATTACAGGTGGAAGCAACAATACCTCACAAACAGTAAAGAGCAACTATTGTAGTCAGTGTGACAGTAAATAAAACGAGAGCAGCGCGTGTTTCAGGGGCCGCTACGCTGCGGCTGCTCGGGCGCGCGCCTCCCTCACCTCGACCGCTTGGTAACCGGATCCCGCATTACCATGCACTCCTTCACTTCGCCGAACTTGCTGAAGTACTCCTTCAATCCATCTGGGAGTGGAAGAGAAGAGGGGCTAAACATAATGGACAACGAATCGCTCGTCTCACGTTAACATTTACTGAACAGATACACGTAACTTAACATGATGCGACAAAAGCACTGAATGACAGCATTCTATTCCTAAACCGGCTGGGTTACAGATGTTCAGTTATATTCTGTGACAACCATTGTTATTTAACCACGGTGTACATCGACTTTGTTTTGTATATGATGGAAACTTCGCCTTTAACATTGGACGTTTGTTATCAGTTACAGCAGGGTAAGTGGCATTTGTGCGCCAAGAAGCGCAGCATTTTTTCTACAGGTAATAGGGTGTCTCTAACTAAATTTTTGCAAGTACATTAATAGTGCAGTCAATCAAATAAAATCTGAGTTCGAACAAAACACGGTTATAGATTAGCCAGGGTGATTCAAAACGGAAGTCATTCGGGTCCTCCGGGACAGCGCTATGGTGGACGTGCGGCGCGATAAAATCAGGGGGGATACAGTCACCAGCGGAATTAGCGGACACTTTATCAGCACGTCAGAATGATGGTCCTAAACCCCCGGGGATTTTTTGTTTTAAGCCCTAATGTGCAGGTCATGGCGATTTCAGTAGTAAATCACCTTCCTTCTAATCCGTCTCCCACTTTGAGATTGTTTCAGTGCCACATACTCGAAAATCCTTGCCTACTGATCCCCAGTAAATGAACTCCTTGATTTCGGCAATAGAGACTGGACTATCCTTATTTTCACATCACCGCGGGAGTTTTCTCCCTAGCGGAACAAGTAAATGTACATTTTTTTGGGGCCGGGGGGGGGATCAAGAAAGACAGAAAATAGCCTATGTATTTATTAAAATTAAGGCATTTTGCACAAAAGATTCAATACATCAATATATACCCAGACTTCTTGAAAGTTTTGTTTTTATAAAACTTATGACTTACCTTGGGTCGTCTGCCAGCTGAGACCACCAATGAACATTTTGCTAAATAAGAAAAAAGACAGAGTGTAAACAACGTTGATATTATATACTCATATACCCCATATAAATTAATAAAAGCAGACAATGAAGTTTAAATTAAATCGTGACTGTCTGTTTTATGGATAGCCTGACCATAGCATTAAAATGTACTTGCCAGCCTGACTTGACGCGCCTGGTATAAAAGTTTCAATGAAATCTCACTCGCGGAGGACAGAAAGCATGACGAGAAAGCTGTGCTATATGGTGGATGTGTAGTGAAATATATGTAGTGTACTGAGCCCAACCACGCTGGCTGCCTTTGTCTAAACTCCGATCGTCTTCCTCAACTCCCGGCTCTCCTTCGGAACAGTCCACGAAGTTGAGGGGCAGGCGAGGTCGTGGGGAGGCTTACCAGGGGTCGTGGGGGGAGTCCGCAGAGGACAGGCTGCTCTGGCTCCCTTCCGCGTCCATTCCGTTCCTGTGTTCCCGAGCGTGCGGCGTGAGAAAGCAGTAGAAGCGGACTGAGGGGCGGGGGTTTGGCCGAGGGAATTGGGGGTGGCAGGGTGTGTGGGGAGTGGACTGTCTCGGAGAGGGGGGACGAAGGAGGGCTAAACACACAAAAAGCTCGCAGGCCCCACCTACTTTATCGGCCTCCTCTTGTCTCGCCTGCCGCCGCTCTTACCCTCCCGTACACGCCCCCCGCCTCTTTCAGGTTTCTTGTAGGATAATTCAACTTGGATATTATTTCCGTTTTTATCTGACTGTTTCACGCTTTTGTGCTAATTTCGGTATGTAAGTATCGAAGGAAAAAAAGTAATGTAATACAATTAATTCATAATTTTATATTCCAAACTCTTAAGTGGTTTTTAACCAGGTGTCATATCAAGTAAAATGCAGCGATGCTTGATAGATTAAGCGATTCAGTTCTAATTTGCCCTACTTGTTTTATGCAGCTCACCTGAAAGTACACGGATTCATAACATAACTTGTCAATGACAATACAACAGCAACATATATATATATATATATATATATATATATATATATATAT